ATTTGACCAATCAGGACAAGGAAATTTTAGTTCCTTTTATCCTGATTGGTCAAATTTCAATCTTCAATACGTAGTCTGATACGGGCTTAAAGATGCCTTTTTATATTTCGAAGAGACTACGTCGAATGCACGCATGCGCGAGAAACATTGAGTTCCCTAGTCCCTAGCGTTTGACAAGGAAAGTTCCAGAATGTTCGCGAGCATTCAAACCACTTGTTTCGTATATCTTCGTATAATGTCAAAATTCGCAAAACAGTGCGTTGTCTCACTTCAATATTCGTGGATGTTAAAGACCGCCCATCTAAATACACGTTACCTAAATGCGGCTGCTGTAAGGATTTCGCGAGAGATTAGGTTAGGTCAACATTCGGTGAACATGTACGAACGTGACAGTTTGCGATTCGTTTGCAGTCTAGTAGGAAACGTGCTGTAGTTGCTGTCACAGGCTCAACATTGAGAAGTTCTGAAGCTCAGAAAGAATTTAAATCTATCGATATCAGATGAAATGGCAGAAAATACAGAGCGAACGAACCATCCTTGGAATACTCTAATTGTTTTTTCTGTTAAATCAAGGGGTATGTTATATATATATATATATATATAAGATGTAGTCTTTTATAATTCTCTCAATCGCGAATATATAAAAAAAAAAAATAATATCTCTTCACAGAGATTTATCTATAAAATATAGATATATAAAGATGTGAGTGAAAATATTCGCTGTTTCAGGAATATGTAAAACGTGATAAGTGCGAGACCCGAATTCGACACGTGATCAAAGATCCAAGAAGAGCATCGAAAAGATTAAAACTCTACCACTGTGCGGCATTCGATCATACACAAACGTGTGTTTGCTATCTTCTTGTTTTACATATAATGTAATACACACATCATACGTTCCTTTGCAGGCATCACTACTCTCCGTAAAAAATAAGAACTACATATAGCAGGTTCCAATGAACTGTTCGGCATATATCTGAATAATATCATTCTTGCTTAAATGCAGATAATTTCATCTGCTCATTAAAATCAGTGATTTAAAAACTCCGTCTCACATATAATTAAATGTAGTATGTAATATTGTAATATTGTAAAAAGTATGTAATATTGTAAAATATCATAAAAATTAGTAACTTGACATTTTTTCATTTAAAATCAATAATTTTTATCCAGATTACAATTATATTCTTACATCAATGGTATGCTAATAGTAGATAACAATAAATTTCTGGAACAAAAGAAATTATTTAAAGAGTTTGTTATATATATTAAGCTTTTCATATATTAGGCAAACAAAAGCGTTTATATAAATTATGCAAGATATTGAAATGTAATCACTCTGGTAGCTTAATATGCAGGTGGGGCATACATCAATATTATTTTAGTAATAACAACCGTACACCCAATGTGTAAGTTTCCCAGGTACAAGAGATCGATAGATAGGACAGCAAGCAAAAAGAGAAAAAATGTAGGAAACAGACAACATTTCTACTGTATATAAAATGGCAAAAGATATAAGAATGTATTGCTCTATATTGTGAACGCCATTTCTTGGGGACTTACTGCAATCGTGGAACCATTTTTTCCAATCCCACCAGATTCAAAGACTTTACAGAATTCAAGGAACACCTGAACGTAGCCTGCATAAAAGATCACTGCTATGTAGTTATTGAGTGTGCCTACACCGAGCACAGGGATCTAAACAAAGCCACAAGATCTTCGTTTGTGATGAAAATTGTTCGTTACATTGTTCTCTCGTGTGTATATATATAAGTATATAATACATATTTTATATAAACCTTCACAAATTATAACTGTCAACATCATGGTATCGCAATAATTGCTACGATTGGATGGACTTAGTTCTATCTGTGGTCGTATTTACTGCATATAAATTATAAATAGAACATGCTTATCTTTCTCATTGTTATGAAAAGAGATTATGAGACGAGGGAGCAGCTAATTATTGCACGATGAATCACGAATGTTAAAGATTATCTCACTTTTTCTATATATTCAATGCGCATCACAGTATCCGTCATAAAGAAAAGCTATTACTTTTTTATTATACCTAATGCACAAGTTCTTCTCACAGACTCAGTATATGATCTGATATACTATATATATGGAAATGTGTTTACTATAATACTTTCTTTAAAAAGTATACTATGAGAAAAATGTAATGTATATTTATTATAAATCCTTACTAAAAATATTTTTTGTACAATTTCTTGTGCACTATTACACACGCATTTACATGTGCATTTAAACATTTTTTTGTTATTACAGCTATCGATAAATGAATAATAAATATACGTTAGATAGAAATATATAAATTATTTATTGATTGATTGTTGATCATGATAACGCATGCAAACAAATATTGCAAAATTAGTCTGATTAATTTGTTGCATAAATCTTTTAAGCAATCACACTATATTTACACATAAATTTGTAATTTTACTAAAATTTCAAAGATATATTCTGTGTAATTTTTGAAATTGTTTCAAAAGAGCATTGTGTTATGCATTTATAAAGAAATTTAACATCACGAGATTTTTCATCATAAACAAAATATCAAAATAATCATAGAAAACTAAGTCTACTTTTTATATTGAAAAATAAAAGGGTTTTGCATTACTAAAAGTTCACATTTTCCTATCTTTTTACAACACAACAATTTGCTGAAAATTTGAGAAATGCGAATTTAAATACGAAATAAATATAATTATTGGTCATATAATGGCACATACAGTCCGTTATGAAAATTGCAGGAATTGTAGGGGGTATCAAAAACGGGGGTGTAGAGGGAATGTAATTTAGTAAGGGATACGAAGTAAAAATGTGTGTTAATCAGTAAATATTTTGCAGTAAAGAAGTAATCTTAGCGCCGCTCCTCATGCCATGCTGCTCCCATTTCTGCATGTTCAACGAAAGAACAATCTAATTAACGAACTTACAGCCACAGTGGAACCATTCTTGCCCACTCCTCCGGTGAAAATCACCGAGAATATAGAATATAAATTTGTCAGTGCACACACCACTGTCATAACTCCTAATAAATACTTAAATATAAAACCATCTAAGAATGGTATCTGCAAAAAATACCCTTATTAAACTCGTGTAAAAAATAATGCCTAACAATTTCATTATAATTTTAGCATATGTGTATCATGACGGCCAGGTTTCAAGACAAGATCTCTTTTGGTTAAGAAATAAAATTTTCCTTTTAAACAGCGCAAAATATAACTTGTCAATATTGTAAGATATCCTGTTTAAATTTGGTGTATGTGTATGAAAAAGAGATACTGTGAGATGTAAATTGTAAATCAAATTCAGAGCATATAAACAATCTTATCATAAACAATGCAAAATTTTTTTCCATTATATATTTTTAACATATTTAAAAAAAGAAATGAATGGACTAATTTTCTATACTATCTATATGGAATCGGCAAATGTAATAAAATAAATATGTGTGTTATAAACATCAATATATAAGCCATTAAAAACTTACTTACCAAGTAGAATGTGGAACCCATGATATACATACATACATACATATATATATATTTAAAATTTGATGCTCTCATTTTGTACCATGAGTTACACTTTTTAAATTGAAATATACAGGACTATTCAATTGTTTTCGACAAGAAAATACTACTATACAAATAATTTTTGTAGAAATTGAATTGTCCTATATATTGCAAGCAGTTATAATAGCGTGATTGTAAAAAATTGAACAAATACCTTGTGTTAGCAATAATTTACGAGTGTACGAGAAATAATGATTTTCTGATTATGCTTTGAAAGTGGCAAAATACATGGAATAGATTAGCAAGCTATAACCATGTAGAATACTAAAAAGTTACACAAAACGTGATCTACCAACTACTGCACAAGATATTTCTGCCAAAATATAAAAAGCGTAATTAAAAGTAATACAACCTCCATCATCCAGATCTCTGGACCAAAGATAGCGGAAATCAGATGGATAGTTATGATAGTAAATTGTGCTTCCGTTACATCCACTTTACCGAATCTTAAGGAACCTATTTAAAAATAAAACAATGAAATTTTATTATAATACATAACTGAATCCATTGTGCAGAAGCTTTAACAACTACACTTTATTTCTGTTTTAAGTACCTGAAACATAGGTTTGCCAATGAGCACAATAGAATAGTGTCATTGCACAGAAACACTGGAAAAACATCCACGTTGGGTAGTATCCTAATTGTACTGCTATACATGCTGACAAAGCAACAAACACTGAAAGAATATAATAAATATTATTTATTTAAATATTTTAGACAAAGTAAAAATATGAAACAATGTAACAATGTTGTCTACCTGTTGATATCGAATCACATCCATGATCAAATAATTCACCCAATGGTGTAGATGTGCCAGTTCTCCTAGCCTGTTTACCATCGATAGCATCTAAACTCTGATATATAAATAGACCGAGTGCACATAAAAAACATGCCCATCTGGGTGGCTAAAAAAATAATGCAATGTCAGTCAAATGCTGTTACAAAATTTTTGGATGTATATTATACGAATTATTAAATATTTCACATGTTTCTTCAATATGATTTCAAGATTAAAGTATGTTTGAAAACATTCATATAAAGAGAAAAAAAAAAAAAGGGATGACATTCAATCTTGTAGTATAATATAGTCAGATGGTTACATAAGAACAAACCACAAACACACGTCTACTGCAATAACAATTGATGAATCATTATATATTCATATACATATGTTTTACATTTTGCATATTCACTTTTAATATTGAGATAGAACATTAGTATTGTTACAAATTGTTTCATGTAAAACATGTAAAGAAAAAAATTAAGTTAATTTTGTATAAACATTAAAAAGCATGTTTATATCTCCTTTTTATGTATCTTTATGTCTCCAATCGGAAACATTAAAATTCTCCTGATAGCATGAAGTGCAGTAGCCTTACTGCACAAACTAGCCTTTGAATGTACACAGAATATTATTATTGATACTATAAAATGTTCATAAAACTTAACATGTATAAAAAAAATAAAAAAAAAAAAATTTTGTCACGAAAACAAAGCTTCCTCTATGAGGAAGCAAAAGATATTCTTATACATACATTTTGACATTTGACATGACATGTACATATAATAATTGAAGCATTGAAGATGACACTTCACCTCGTAGCAAAAAAAAAAAAAAAAAAAAA